AACAGGAAGTGGCATGAAACAAAAATTATCCCGGCAAAGCAGCCTAACAGCGATATGTAGAAGCATGTCTGAAAGCATTCCCCTTAAGCTTCAGATGAAAATCCAGTTGTAGAATTCTGCTGTTCTCGCAGTCGTAGTCGCATTCGCGACGACAGTCGCAGCGGCAACGGCAGTCGCAGTCACAGCCTCAGCCTCAGCCTGCCTCAGCCTCAGCCTCAGCCTGCCTCAGCCTCAGCCTGCCTCAGCCTCAGCCTCAGCCTGCTTCAGCCTCAGCCTCAGTCTGCCTTCAGCCTCGGCCTCAGCCTCAGCCTGCCTCAGCCTCAGCCTGCATCAGCCTCAGCCTCAGCCTCAGCCTGCCTCAGCATCAGCCTGCTTCAGCCTCAGCCTCAGCCTGCCTCAGCCTCAGCCTCAGTCTGCTTCAGCCTCAGCCTCAGTCTGCCTTCAGCCTCGGCCTCAGCCTCAGCCTGCCTCAGCCTCAGCCTGCCTCGGCCGCAGCATCAGCCTGCCTCAGCATTCAAAATGTGGCCCAGGAGTGGAGTTCTGGGAACTAGAAGAACACGAAGTGGCCTACAGTTGGCTCCGGGCATTCAAAATCATGCCCAGGAATGGAGTTCTGGGAACTTGAAGAGCACGAAGTGGCCTACAGTTGGCTCCGGGCATCCAAAATGTGGCCCGGGAATTAAATTCTGGGAAATCGAAAAGCACGAAGTGGCCTACAATTTGCTCCGGGCATCCAAAATGTGGCCCGGGAATGGAGTTCTGGGAACTCGAAGAGCACGAAGTGGCGTACAGTTGGTTCCGGGCGCTCAAAATGTGGCCCGGGAGTGGAGTTCTGGGAGGTCGAAGAGCACGAAGTGTGTGACTGTTGACGAAAAGCGAGCCCGGTTCTGTTCCCGGTTCTCCAAAATGTGGCCCGGGAATGGAGTTCTGGGAGGTCGAAGAGCACGAAGTGTGTGACTGTTGGCGAAAAACGAGCCCGGCTCTGTTCCCGGTTCTCCACAATATGGCCCGGGAATGGAGTTTTGGGAGGTCGAAGAGCACGAAGTGTGTGACTGTTGGCGAAAAACGATTCCGGGCCCTCCTCCCCGGCACCCGCCCAGACCCTCCTGAGGAGTCATGATGCTTTCTTTTGACCCTATAGAAACCTATCAGCAAACGCTGTTAGGTAAAAATCGGAGGTCCGCGCGGGTTTCTCGGATGGGCGCTGGGGCCCCCCGGCGTCGCCTCCGGCGCCGCCCCTGGCGCGCTCCGCGCGCCAGGGAGGGGGGTCCAGCGCCGATCCGAGAAATCCGCGCGGACCTCCGAGTTTTTATGTTTATGTCACGTTTTGTTCCCCTAACTGCTTCCGAGACTTGTACGCCCTGTCGCCGATCGCAGGGCCGCGACGCCAAGGAGTGTGCGCCGCCCGACTTGCCTCTCCACAGGACCCCGGGCGCGGGGCCTCTGCGTGTGCCGAGGGATCGGCCTAGCGCAGACGCGCGCCTCGCTGTTTTCCACCCTTGTGCGCCCGGCTTTGAAGAACAAACAACGCCATAAACATAAACTTGTGGCGCTCCGCTCGGGATTCTCGGATCTGCGCTGGGCCCCCCCGTCGGTGAGGGGGGCCCAGCGCACATCCAAGAAATCCGCGCGCATCGCCAACAGTTTAATGTCTATGCAGTTGTTTCCTTTTTTTTCTTCTTCTTCTTCTTCTTCTTCTTCTACCGTCGCGCCGTTCGCAGGGCCGCGACACCAAGAGTTGTGCGCCGACCTGCCCACCTCTCCACGGCACCCTGGGCGCCGAGTCGGCCCCGGCCGCAGGAGCTCCCCGTCGCCGCCGCCCCGCCGCCCGAAGAAGGAGAAGGCCGGCAAGAAGGCGCGGGCGGCCGAGGACCCGCCGGGGCGGCCCGGGTCGCGGGGAGGGCGTTCGGCGCGGGGCCGGGAGGAGGATGAGCTCAAGTCGGGCCTGTCCCTCTACAGGAGGAAGATTCAAGAATAGTTGGAAGATGGTCTGGGGACTGTTCTCAGACTATTGCTGGGCACTGTGAGAATCTGTTTGGGGTATGTTTGATTGTTCAGCCACAATTCCACTGTAGGGGGACAGGCCCGACCTAAGGATAATCCGTTCCAGAGCTCGAAGAACAAGAGACGCCATAAACATAAACCTTCGGCGCTCCGCGCGGGTTTCTTGGATCCGCGCTGGTCCCCCCACAAGCGGCGCCTCTGGCGCCGCCCCTGGTGCGCTTCGCGCGCCAGGGAGGTCCAGCGCGGATCCAAGGAATCCGCGCAGCGCCAAAAGCTTTTGTTTATAGCGTTTTTTGTTCTAAGAGCGTTCCGCAACGCTCTCAGAGCTCTCAACGGAACGCTCTGAGAAGGCCGCGGAGCCTGAGGCATTTTCCAGAGCCGCCCGCCGGATCTCACAGATTCTGGATTTGTCCTCACTCGATTTGATCTTCGCCCTGGTTTCGTCTCAGGCTTCCCCCCTGAGGTTCAGGGTGATGGCAGCGGGGGGCATATCATGGCCAGGGCCACGACATTGCCCCCAAAAAATCACGGGCCCCTCTTCTTATCAGGACGTCCCCCCCCCCCCCCCTGGGCCGCGCACGTACCTCGGGCCACAATGTCCCGCCCCCCCCCGCCCCCCCCTCCCTTTTTGGACGTCCCCCTCCTGGACGCCCCCGATGCGTTGCATATTGGAGGGGCCGTGTCTGTCCCGCAGGTCGCAGCCTTCTCTCTCGCACCCGACGCGGCTTCGGCGCGGGGGCGGCGACGCGAAATCGGTACCGTCTCGACGCGGATTCGCTGTGAGTTCGACGCGGGTTCGGCGCATTCGTCATTCCTCGGAGCCAGCGACCTGGGATCGAGGGTCCAGCTCACCCCTGCCGCATGAGGTGGAGGAGGCATGCGGACCCTGCGGAGGAGGAGGAGGAGGAGGAGGGAGGAGGAGGAGGAGGAGGAGGAGGAGGAGGAGGAGGAGGAGGAGGAGGAGGAGGAGGAGGAGGAGGAGAGGAGGAGTAGAGTAGTAGGAGTAGTAGGAGTAGGAGGAGGGAGGAGGAGGAGGAGAGGAGGAGGAGGAGGAGGAGGAGGAGAGGAGGGAGGGGCGGAGGACAGGAGAGGGACAGCAGCCCCCACCCGCCGATCCGTCGAGCAGTGGCGAGGCGTCTTGTCTCGCCCACAGGCCCACCAGGGAATGGTCCGAGAGCCTCTTGTGGTCTGCACATGATCTTCTCAGAACACTTCTGGCCGAGGCCGTCTTGTTTTCACGCCTCGGGCTCCTGTTCTAAGAGCACTCTTTTTGTTCCTCGAGCGTTTTGTGGTTTCCAGAGCATATCGTGGTAAGCCTACAGGAATGCTGGGACGGCCAGTTCGAGTTCAAAAACGGCAAGCTCTAGACAACAAACAGAAACGGCGCCAAAGGAAGGAATTTCGAGGCACGGGAGGGTGCGGGGGTGAGCCCGCCGCCAGGGATGGAGCGCGCGAGAGGGAGTGCCGGGAGCGGGCGGCGGCGTTTCAAAGATGGGGTCTTGATCGGTCGGGGAGAGGACGGGGATGAGAATCGCTCCAGAGCGTTCAAGAAGTTCTTGAACGCTCTGGAGCGATTTTGAAAATTCTTGAACGCTCCGGAGCGCGATTTTGGCACGCACTGAAAGCATTCTTAGAACGCTTTCAGAGCGTGCCAGAACTCTCCTAGCAGGCCGCGCGCTGCCCGATGCATCCTCCAGAGCCGCCGGATCTCGGAGATTCCCGGTTCATCTACAGTCGACCCGCACAGTAAGGATGAGCGATTTTCCAATAGGCACCCTTGCATCCTTGCCTCCTCGGCCCATCCTTGGCCACTTTCGCTGGCCGCGCCCCGCTCGAAAAGCTCAGGAATGGCCTCCCAGGGCCCTTGCCTCCTGATCGTGCCATCCTTATGATATGGGCCGACTGTATCCCTGTCCGACTTTGTCCCCGTCTCGGCTTCGTCGTGCCCGAGGGATTTTCGGCGGGGCGCGCCGGGGTCCGCGCGGCGCTGCCAGGACGCGTCGGACGACGCGGCCGCGCGCAAAGAGGCGGCCAAGGCGGCCGCGAGAGCGGCGGTCGCCCAGCGCGCGGCGCCCCCTCGGGCGACGGCGACGACGACGACGACGACGACGACGACGACGACGACGACGACGACGACGACGACGGCGACGGCGACGACGGCGACGGCGACGGCGACGGCGGCGGCGGCGACAGCGGCGGCGTCGGCGGATGCGACGACGGCGACGACGGCGGCGGCGGCGAGGAGGAGGTTCACTGGTTATCCATACTGGGGCGGTCCGAGGGGTGAGAGAACGCAGCACGGGGGTGGCGCCTGTTGGGATGAACACCTCCTGTTCCCTGGCAGGGGCGGCACAGCGCTGCCAGGGCCCACCGACAGGGGTTCCCCACCCCCTCTTCCTCGAGAGCAAAACCACCCATCAGTCAGGTTGACCTCGGCCGATCGCCGCAGCGAGGAGGGTGGCTCAGGGGCAACGATAGGGGGGATAGGCATAGGAAGGAATGCATCGCCCCCCACTCGCCCATTGATCGCCGATAGGGGCCTGATAGCCCCAGCCTGCCCAGGAGGGTGCGGACTCGCTGTCAGAGGCTCATCGCCGATCTATCGGCGACGTATCGCCGATTCCAGGTCGATGCACCCCTCCCTATGCCAGTCCCCCCCTATCGTTGCCCCTCAGGCAGGAGGCCGCCCGCCGCGGCCCGCGGGAGCCTGCGCCGGGCCGCGCGGGCTGCGAGCTGGTGGCGGTCGAGGGCCGCGTCCCTTGCAGGAGCGCAGTCCTCGGCCGTGCGAACAGCTCCTCCTCCTCCTCCTCCTCCTCCTCCTCCTCCTCCTCCTCCTCCTCCTCCTCCTCCTCCTCTTCCGTAGCCATTTTGGCTCAAGCCTGCCTTGGGCGCCAGGCGGGCGAGGTGCGCGACTTGTCTCTCTCCGTAGAGTCCCGTCGCCTCGGCGGGCAAAGAGAGCGGCTCTGTCTCAGTCCCCTCGTCCTGCGGCCCTGGCAATGGCTACGGTTCCCTCGCCCCCGAGCGCGGGTCTGGTGGCGGCCCTCGCCCCACTGGCTCGGGCGGCGGCGGCAGGCGCGGCGGAGGGCGGAGGCGGGCGGCAGAGTGTGGCTGCGGCCGTGGCTGCTGCCCTCCGCACTGGCGCCTCCCTGCTGGGCCTGCAGCAGGACGTCCAGCAGACACCGCTCGACGAGGCGGGCGAGCAGGAGGTGGCGACGCGGCTCCTGGCGATCGAGCGGGCGCTCTCGCTCCAGGTCGCGGGACAGCCCGTCCCAGGCGCGGTCCGCCTGGACCGCAACCTCGCCGCCCACGCCGAGATTGGCAAGGGCGCCGGCGTCCTTGGCCTGCCGGTCGCGGAGAAGCGGCGCCGGCAGCGCGGCCGCAGGCGCGGGCGCAAGCAATCCGAGCTGTCCGACACGGCGGGCCCCTCGGATGAGAAAGACGAGCACTGGTCCAACCTTGTCTGCACGGACTCGGACCAGGGCTGCGACAATCCACACTACAAGTACGGGGATGGGGACAAGGAGAAGATCGAGAAGGTGGTGCACGATACCTTCAACCTGATGGACCAGCGGACCTCCACCCTCCTGAGTTTCGAGGGCAAGCAGAAGGAGCTGGAGACCATCGACAACCCCTTTCCCAAGAAGGCGCTCGAGACTGACCAGGCGGTGCAGGACACAGACGTTGCGCGAGAGTCGCAGCACAAGGGCGTGCTCAAGGAGGACAACTCGTCGGCCTCTTCCGCTCCCCTCGAGTGCATGAAGAACGAACCCAGCCTGGGAAAGGGTGGCAAGAGTAAGCCCCGCGGCTCCTACGCCATGGTCAACATTGGCGTGGGTAAGTCGGGCTTCGAGCCGCTTGGGCGCGTCGGCAAGGGCAAGGACAAGGGCATCGGCCTCTGATTCGCCTGCCGTTCGCACACCTGCAGATTTATAGGCTGCAGGGTATCGGCGCTAGCCACGTCAGAAGGCTATCGCTTCTGCCCTCGAGCAAAAAAAAATCCTCCTCCTCCTCCTCCTTTCCTTCCTCCTCCTCGTCCGCCTCCTCCTCCTCTCCTTCCTCCTCCGCCTCCTCCTCCTCCTCCGCCTCCTCCTCCTCCTCCTCTTCCTCGTCCTCCTCCTCCTCCTCCTCCTCCTCCTCCTCCTCCTCCTCCTCCTCCTCATCCTATCGTTGCCCCCCAGTGGCGGACGAGTGGGGAGGAGGCCGAATGAGCCCGTGCCGCGGAGGGCCTCCTGGGCCTCCGTCGCCCGGGCAGCTGCGCCCGGCGAGCGTGCGGCGGCGGGGCGCGGCGGCCACCCGCAGATCTCTCGGGCGGTTCGCACGTGCAGATGGGCGGCGACGGCGGTTGGAGGAGGAGGAGGAGGAGGAGGAGGAGGAGG